GCCTATCTAAGTTAGTCGCTTACTGTTAACTGCGCCGGGGCCACGCACCTGGTATAGAGAGCGATCTGCAGGCCAGACTCCTAGCGCCTGGCCGGTAGATCGCTCTCTAAGCGTGGTCTTGTGATCCATGTCGGCCGTGGACCTCCGCACCTTATCTAGGGGAGAGCGTCTAAAGTTTGGCTTAGTGGGGGCATTTCCCTGGTTCCTATCTATTACTGTCGATGCCTCCCGTGAGGCGTGGCAATTCCGGTGAAGCTAAACAATAGTAGAGGCTTTGTTTCACTTGACAAGGGTCTATAGGTCTCACCAAGGTAAAACACGTAATCTAAAAGAAACTAGCAAAGAATCTAGCGATGACACAAAATGCCCTCCCAAGCCGAACGAGGCCGACGCCAACGTGCATGTCGCGCAATCGTGCATGTCCCGCTAATAAAGAGCCAAAAATGGTACTTCAAAAAGGGAACTTTCCTAATGAGCTCTACGCCTCTCCTACTCCGCATTTAGTCAAAAGGCTCACTTATACCGAAGAATAAAGATGGCATTAAATATAAATAGCATAACAAAGTAAAGGATCTCCATCCACTGGAGAACTTTCCCAGGAGAATCCCTCTCTATTGGAGGACTCTCCCAGGTAGAATTGGGTAAGAGTTTACCTTCTCGAACTGTTTAGCAAATCGTTTCTGAGCTCGTGGAAGATCCTCAATGTCGATTGTTTCCAGCATATCGTCATCTGCCCGTTTTTGAACGTCTGAAGAACAGCAACCAGTCAGCAATGAATGTGCTACCTAATGACGCAGAAACTAACTTACCGGACGCTGTTGTGGTAGGGGCAGTGGAACGATATCGAACTCGTTGTCCATGACGAAGCAGAGCGCTCCTGGCCCGTAGAGCGGCTCGGCAGAGCATCTCACCAAAGAGGTAAAGAGATATGATAAGGGTTTAGGACTAGGCAAATTAGCTTGCTAGTGAGAAAGCTCGAACGGTTTCACGAAAGTAAGAGTAAGGCAAAGACATCACAATTTTCACACGATAGCAGTAAGAGCATACTTTGGTGGGGCAGGGGGAAGGGGACCGGCTATGCCTTTGTATCCCTTCGTCATAGGGTTTGGTTACTCTGGTACTTCAAACGTCTGGTTACTGTTAGAACCCAGACGTTTGAAGTCGCTGAGGGTTGTTTCGCATCTCCACGATGCCTAGGTCTTGATTAGGTTAAGGGATACAGAAACGCGGCTGAATGGTCCCCAACCCCAGCTACAGTAGTGCTGTAACATTAACTTTTGGAGCAAAAAATTGAGTTTAGGATGAGAATGCTGGTGCCCAGCTTATAAGACACAGTAAGCGACTATAAGGCAAGCCAGCTATGAAATACTTGCGAGCCTATGTCTATACAACTGGGTATAGCGAAGTAAAATGCAAGACAAATCGATCGAAGCCCTCCCTTCAATCGGCATTGACATTTGGACGATTTAACTCTTTCTGGAGCCACAGCTAACACACTGAGTAGTCTACACGACGTCACAAACAAACAGCTGTTTGTTTAATCCTACCGCTGTTGTTTTTAACCTTCTAACGAATTATAGTGATTTCCATTCCTGTTCTCCTAACCCTTAAAAGTGCCAAGGCCACCAGGGTTTCGCAATGCCACTAGTTCAGCCTGCTTCCTTCATTTCTCTTTCTTTCTTCCTTTTCTTCTATGTTTTAATGCGCCCTGAACCATCCGTCTCAGATTGCATTGTCAACGGAAGCCTCTCCTCTCTTTCATTTTTTCTTCCTCCTTCCTTCTTTTCCTTCCTTCCTTCTCTGATCCCTCCTCCTTTACCTTCTCCCTCCAACTACTGGACTGGTAGATGCCTCGTGAAAATACCCCTGGACCCTCGCAGCGAGAGCACGTCTGGTTGACAACAGCCCCGTAACCGGAACCTCCAGACAGCCCGAAACTAGCAATCACTATTGAAAACCGCGGGTATCCCGGACAAAAATATATGTTTCAATAGTGACCGGAACAGCTGTCACGTGCAGGGAATGAACAGCTGAGCGAGCGCGTTTCATAGACGCCACTTCTGCAGTGAATTCATTGACTCAAATTAGCTATATTTGGGAAGCAATCGTCAAATTGATACGGTAGCAATCAAGGTCCTGAGGCTACGAGGATCAAAACCTTTGTGAAAGCTGTGGAATAAAATTGACCCAATTTAACCCACAGAAAGGATTCAGATGTGGGCTTGCGTCGCACGTAATATCTGATGTGTTATGCAGAACAAAACACTTTTCAGGTGAAAAGTTTGTCAGGTAGAGCAGAATCTCCTTACAGCAAAGTTCTTCGCGAGTGATTCT